CCCTAACCCTAACCCTAACCCTAACCCTAACCCTAACCCTAACCCTAACCCTAACCCTAACCCTAACCCTAACCCTAACCCTAACCCTAACCCTAACCCTAACCCTAACCCTAACCCTAACCCTAACCCTAACCCTAACCCTAACCCTAACCCTAACCCTAAGAGCTGAAGCGGGGGGAAGCGACGGAGTCGTGCAAAAGGCCTAATAAGCATTGTTAGAAGTAGAACATGAGCTTCCGCGTGCAGATGGGGAGTCGGCAACTAGAAAAAGAGCTCACCGTGTGCGCCATGATCAAGTTGTACTCGTCCTACGTTTTGAGCCCGGCCCGAGCGGTGAGTGGGGTGGCGCGTCGCGCGGGTCGCAGAGGGGCTGGGGGCCAGTGCTTTGATCTGATCGTCGGGAGATGCGCTAGAACACGCTCTGACGACGTATTGTGGTCTCCCGCGATGGGTTGATGTCGATAGAGGCTCGAGATGATGAACAGGGAGCACGAATGACCTGTAGCGGCGGGTGAGCATCGGCCTAAGAGCCGCGTCAATAGCGCGCACCTGGGCATACATGACCCCGTCTCGTAAGACCTGGATTTTGGCAATAAAAGCAGGACTGATAAAGCGCCGTTCGGTTGCGACGCGAAAAGAACTGTACGGAGGGCGAGGAGGAGAAAGGAAGGGGCGATGGGGAAGGGGAGCGAGGAGCGCGTGGCCGCCGTGGGGTTCATGAGCGGAGACAAGCCAAAGCAGATGAAAAAGGAACATAGGAGCGGGGAGGGGGATGGGGAGAGAGGGTGGGTGAGAGGGGATTGGAGGGTGAGTCCGCGAGTGTCAGCTAATCGCCGCAGGACCTGCCGCCATCTCTGTCGCTTGCGATCTGAAGCCCATCAGCAAAGATCTGCTCATTAGGCCATGATACGCACAGTCCCGGGTTCAGCTCTATTGCGCGCGACGCTTATGCGATGGGGAACAAAGGATCGGGCAAGGGGGGAGGGGGAGGGGAAGGCGGGCATGGGCGCGGCCTCGGAGACTTCTTGACGTCGATCGATTGTAGCGTGCAGAGTCGGACCGTCAGAGACTTTGTGGGCGGATACGATGTGGCGTTCGCGGAGCTGGAAAGGTCGAGGGAGAAGAGGGGAAGTGGCGGTGACTGCGATGTTCGGTGAGTATGACGGTCGTGCCAGCAGTGAACGGCGACGCACCGAGCTAGACAGCAAGCGCGTCTCTAGAGCGCATCTCCAATCGTGTTCGCGAGCTGTGAGTTGTAGGTTGAGGGCGCGCGCCGCCGACGGTCAAGACAGTAGGAGGTGAGATGGGACTTGCCTCTCTCGCGCTCAAGTCCGGATCGGATCACCGGCCCGGCTGCCGCGGGTCGTCCCCCACCGCCTCCGCCACCGTGTTCAGGCCTCCTTGGACGGCCAGTGCGTCGTTCGGGATTACCAACAGCGTATAAAACAGCATATGAAGAACATTTTCGAAAGCCAGAGATGCACGACGATGTATGCTGCAAGCTATAAAGAGGTTCGCACTTATCAGTCAGAGTCAGTCCCTTGTGCACCCAGATGCATACCCACCGAACCGCTTTGTCCTCTACTGCGCTACGCTCAACCGTCCCGGATGACTACAATCCAGTCCCCCGGCATTCTGAACTTCCTGACGCGTACAAAGCACCCGCCTCCGAGGGGTTTGATTTGGACTTTTGGACTTTGCTGCCTTCGCCGACTGTGCCGGCCGTACATTCTCAAACTCGGCCGACGCGCCTCGATCGTATTGGTAAGTACGAGAAATTGTCCTCATTGCCTCTAACCGTCGTCACTGCTCGTCCCGACCCTCTGCTCCAGATGCCCAACGCACACAGTTCCAAGCGCAAGCAAACCCGGCGAGTACGTATGCCCACCGTACACGTCAGATTGAGATACTGACTGTATCTATGCCGCGAAGGGGGCTACCAAACCGGCGCAACAACCGGATGTCGGGGACGAGGTGGTGAGTAACTGGAGTGCACCCCAGTGGTGTTCTTCCCCGCTCACGCGCTGGAATGCAGGGGCCTTCTCAAGAAGATGAGATGAACCCAACCCAGGTTCTTGTGCCACCGACACAGGAAAGCGTGGAGCAATTCAGCGTTAGCAGCTGCTACCTCTCACCCGTGCGTGACGCTGACGTCTTGCCCAGTCTCAGACCGTGGACGAGATCGAGAACCCATTCCCGCCCACTCAAGCTCGTCAAATCCACGAGCATATCGACGAGGACGAGAACGAGGAAGAGAAAGAAGACGTCGGGGGTGATCAAAGAGTACGTGCGTAGTGTTCTGTCCTCTACTCCCTCGCTGACGTCGTTGCACAGCCCCAAGGCGACCAAGTTGCACACAAGTTCAGTTCGGCCAACGCGAGCGATGGCAAGGGAGATGCGGTCATGAGTGATACGCAGGTGAGTCGTCTGAAATCGTCCAGGGCTGCATGCTGATGCGACTTGGCAGCCGACCGACGCAGACGTTCAAGAGGTGAGGGGTCAATTACCCCGATCTGCATGTATTGAAGTCTTCGAGAAGGATCTCGTACAGGGCGGGCGCGCGGGCCAATTCAGCCAGAATCACAACTCCCTCGGCGGGGCCGACAAGGTTCGTGCTCAATTACTTTGAATACGCGCTATTGATACCGAAAAGGACGTCGAGATGAATGAGGGGGGTGAAGAAGATGCCGATGGCGATGTTGACGAGGACATAGAGGCCGAATCCGAGGTACGCATGATTCTCATCGGAAGTGCTCTGCGTTGAATGAGCTGCCGCAGGAGGGGACCGCCCGTCAAGGAACCAAAGAGACTGGGGATGCTGTGATGAAGGAAAGTGTACGTACCTCTGTGCTAGTCAGATTGCTTACCGTGCTGTGCAGGATGGAGTCGAGCAAAGGCGTGATGCTAAGGAGACAGGTGCTAAGGAGACAGATGCGATGGTAGGGGACGTCCCTGGTATACAAAGCAGTGGCTGACCATCTTCGAGGACGTCGACGATGCGAAGCGCCGCGGTGTGAGCACCCAAGCGGGAAGCAACCCGAAGCATCCCGTGGGCGACAAGCAGAAGCCGCCCAAGCCCAAGCCTACGCGTCGCAAGCAAGACGAGGATCCCTCGTCCACAGGTGGAAAATCCACGGACAAGAATAGGGGAGCGGCCGCGGCGCCAACGAAGGCATTGAAGTCGGGAACGGGAGCCATGTCGGCCGACGACGATGGCGATTTACAAGTACGTGGATTCTTTAGCGATAGAAGGCGCGAACTAAGACATCGCGTAGCTTATAGAGAAGGTCGCGCCGGCCATGCCGCCGTCTCCGCGCAAAGAGGAGACCGATGCACAAAAGGTGGAGTTCTCATCGAGAAGTACGAGATATCTGGCTGATGACATCGACAGAAAGCAAACACGGCCTTTCAGGAGGCCTTGCGCAGGGCTCAGCTCGGGTGCGCGCTGGTGCCGTCGTACGCGCCAGACGCATTCGGCATCAACGTTCTCGACGCGGACGCGCTTCAGAGACCGATCAACGCCCGCAACTTCAAGAATCTCTACGAGATGGGCCAGAACAACGCCTTGCTCCCGCACCTTGCCAAATACTTCATTGATATCATCGTTGATCCTGCCCAAGTTGACCCCACATCTATCTCGAAGGATATCACGGAATCGCTAGCCGTTATGCGTCCCGCGCCCGATTCAAAGATACCCGTCACCGTGTCCATCGCAGGGGGGCACCATCGCGTCCGGGTGCAGAAGACGCTTTGGCTGGAGGCCAGGGGGGCAAAGGCGGTCGAGGTCATCGGCGAGGTCAAGGACGACTTAGTGAAGAACTGCACGTGGGGTGCGAACGTGTGGGACAAGGGTGAGTATCGCCCATCTCCACGGCTCACGTACCTTCTCATTAACAATATGACAGCGTTCATCGACGCGTGCGAGTACGGGTCGGCCATCATGCAGCACATCCGTTCGAACAACAAGACGGAGGCGCTTGGGGACACCGATGCGCGTGTGCTCGTCACCTTCGCCACCGCCATGGACACCGACGACGAAGGATCTCGGCTCATGACGCTCAAGACCAACCTCCTCAGCAAGAAGATCAGCGGCGACGTCAAGCAGATCATGGGCAGCATGCCACCGATGCACAACTTCTTCGTCGACCTCAGCGGTATTCCGCTGTACACCACCCCGGCGAGCAGGATCGAAATCTACTTCAACGTTAGGGACTGGCATGGCATTGGTAAAAAATGGGGCGAGGTGAGGACGCTCTGCGCTGAGAATATACTTTTGACGCTGACGAGTTGCCTAGCTCCTTACCACGTACTGCGCGCAGCCAAAGTTCGTCGTACGCATCCTAGAGGACACCCTCAACGACGACATGCTCTACATGAAGAAGGCCGACACTCCTATGGCCATAGAGGACAACGACGTCACCATCAAGGCCCTCTACTCGGAGCGTATCGGCACCACCAACCTCGGTGGGGTTCGCCTCTCTCCCCAAGGGCGTATACTGGCCGCGTTACTTGCTGAAGCCTCCGAGGGCGCCTTTTGTGCCGTCGACGGTCTGCGTCTTGCGTTTTCTGCCGCTCTGACTACTGGTTACCTCACGGGGCGGACAGCAGTGCCAGATTTGCTCGCCACCAAGCTGATCCAATACCGCCGGATTCTCATCGAGCGCTTCCGAGACGCGGTTGAGTCGCACAACGCGAGCTCGAGCAAGGTCCAGATCAAGGACACATGGCTGGTCTGCAACGCCTTCGAGAACATCATGGGCTCGACGCTCACTGTCGACGACGCCGTTGGGCCTTTGCGCTGGACGACAAGACTTCCATTCCCATGTCCGAAGATCCTCATCACCATCATGAGCGTCTTCCGCAAGGGTGAGCGTATCGACGATGCTAGTGTTATTCTGACCTTTGTGAGTCATCTTTTCTTCCCGACCAGTCCTCATTGGGTCGAGGTCAGATGTATTGAGGGGTGCGAGTCTGGATGCGCTCAATAACGTGGCGTTGCCGCTGTTGAGGGGGAAACCACCTCAACAGCGGCAAGAAAGCGGTATTGAGGCGCATCCATCTGGGCACACGCGGCGGTCATCAATATGCGCGTCAAAGGGATATTGAGGCGTGAGCTAATCTAATTCCAGCTCACCCACGTCATCGCACCGGGATTCATCCAGCTTTACAAGTTACGCCCGCGCGACGATGTGGAAGGTCAAGAGATGTACACGCCATTGCGGGTGATGAAGCTCTGGATGGTGGCTGGAATGGTTCGGCGGAAGTACGCGTCTCGCAGGAAGAACGACGCCGAGGACGAGGAGTGGCTGGAGGGCATCGAATGCATGGCCGAGGCGGAGGCCTTGTCGGTGAGTGTATACTCCAAGCTGGTGATACAAAACTCAACACAGTACAGTTTGCCGACTTGGTCTTGATCATCCACAAGCGCGTGAGCGCGGACGATATCGACCGCATGGTGAAAGCCATCAAGGGCTGTGCTGCTGCCCCGCGGATTGACTTTGCACGCCTGAAGAGGACGACGGCCAAAAAGGGTGAGCAGCCAAAAGAGTTTCGCGTGCTGACTGGGGAGGAGCTCCGCAACACGAACATTGCGCTGCATCTGCAGGCGATGCTAGACGCCTGGAGCGACGCGAGCCGCCATCGTAACTCGACGCGCTCCATGTCGATCAAATACGCTCCGACCCTCAGCCAGACCATCCGGAACGCGTACGATGCGCGTGCAAAGTCACTTCCCTCACTCTCGGCGACCGAGGCAAGCATTTTCTGGGTGGCGGCGCGACTCATCCCGTACTTTGCCCTGGACCCACTGAAGGCTCCGCCGGGAACTCAGACGCACAATCGTCTCAACTTCATGGACAGGACCGTCAACCCTGCGCTCATTCAGTATGCATTGAAGGCGGGAGATCTGCGCACCATCACCAGCGAGATCGGAGTCCTAGGGCACGTCTACAAGCAAGTCGTCCAGCGCCTTCGAAAGGATGACATGCTTGGGGGTGACTGGGTTCCATGGACTGATGATGCACAGATTTGCAGTGTCCCAGTCGATGCCGTGGCGACTCCGACAGCTGAGGTGCCCGACATCACGAACATGGACGCCGTTGAGGAGATCTCCGACGACGCCACGTTACGCGCAAAGAACCGCATCGACCAGCTCAACGCGACGCAGGCGACGATGAAGTCCATCGTCAAGTCGGCGGCCAAACTCCTCAAGGACTATCAAGTTGGCGCACCGAAGGACGTCTTTACATTCTCGGAGGAGACTGTGGACGCCATGGTTCTGTTCAACAAGGTACGTTTATTACTGCGGCAACTCGTATTTCAATGCCCTCTTATGCTGAGCAGCGGCTCGCCACCGACGTATTCAACGTGCACGGTGGTACGGAGGAGAACAAGGCCGAGGTTATAGCGGGTAAGCTCGAGGAGGATGAAGCCGCGCTCCGGCAGTACACTCGCAAGGTCAGCGTTGAGCAAGTGGCGCTCATGGCCAAGAAGCGCGAGAACCCTACGCGAGAGGTCCCGCAGGCGAAAGGGGGGAGGAAGAGGGCCGCAGTGAGTAGCGACAGTGAGGATGACAAGGGCGAGGGCAGCTCGAAGGGGAAGGGGAGGGCGACGAAGGCTAAGAAGGCAAAGAAGACCTCCGAGTAGTGTACTCATTACTAGTTACAAATGCTGCCATTGTGTTCTGTCCTCATCATTTGACGTCGGAGCATCTTGCTCAATAGTGCAAATTTGGCAATACTGAGGGCGGGACCAAGCTACCTTCAATAACCCAGGAACCGATGTATTGAGGATTGTAGCAACACTACTTGTATTGAAAACTGAGCAGATGGGGGCGACGGGAGTGGATCAGACGAGGAGGACAATGCGAGGGGGGCCCAACGAGCTGGGGGGGGAGGGGACGAGCTGGGGGGATGAGACGAAGGGAACGAGACAAAAGGATGAGGGGGTGGGGCGAGATGAAGGGGATGAGACGAAGGAGAGGGGTGACGAGACAAGTGGGGGTGGGAGGGACAATGTGAGGGAAGGGAAGAGGTGGGGGAGAGGGGAAGATGGGGGTGACGGGAAGGGGGGGAGGGGTCAGGACGGGACAAGGGATACAAGATGAGGGGGGGGTAAGGGGTGGGGGGAGAAGAATGGTGGGGGTGGAAGGAATGGGTGGAGGGGAGGGGTGAGGAGATGAGTGGAAAGGGGGGGTGGGGGGATGAGCAGTAGGGGGGTGGGCAGAAGGTGTGGGGATCCTGCCTGGAGACCCCTTACCGGGACTCTCGAGTCACGTTCGTACTAGTAGGATTCTTTTTGCTCGTCTTTCACGTACATTTTAGATTAGATTAGATACTTCGCAGGCTGCAAGGCGGCCTGCCGGATTGGGATTAATCATCATCTCTACTCTTACCATCACCTGCAGCTTGAACCAGCCTCCTCGGAGAGAGGCTTCGAGCAGCAGGCACCGGAAGGGCTGCCTCCCGCCTCTTCGTTGAGTCTCACTCCGACGCGGGCACTCGGATATTCGATCTCACGCGTGCGCATCATTACACGCGCCCTACACACTACTCGAGCGCTCCCACGCCTGACTGTCGCCAAGGGGCGACCACTCTGCGCTCACTCCTACCCACTTGACTGGCAAGATCTCCACTCACGGGCCCAGAGCTCCCGCAGAAGGGGGGGTGAGGGGGGGTGAGCAGAGGGGGGTGAGCAGAGGGGGGGGTGAGCAAGGGGGGGTGAGCAAGGGGGGGGGGTGAGCAGAGGGGGGTGAGCAGAGGGGGGGGGGGTGAGCAGAGGGGGGTGAGCAGAGGGGGGGTGAGCAAGGGGGGGTGAGCAGAGGGGGGTGAGCAGAGGGGGGGTGAGGGGGGGGGGGAGACGAAGAGGATGAGACCAAGAGAAGGCGGGACGAGATAAGGGAGAGAGGGGGGAGGGGCCATGAGTTGGGGGTGGGTGCGAGGGCAAAACGAGTCGAGAGGTGGGGAAGGGGGAACAAGATGAGGGGGCCAAGGGGAGACAAGGGAGTGAGGGGGGGAAGGGACGAGATTGGAGGGGGCGAGTCAAGGGAGTGAGGGGACGGAGAAAGAGGTGAGTGGATTGGACGAGATAGGAGGGGATGAGATCGGGGGCAGGTGCTTACTTATCATGTATGAATGTCGGAGAGGTGGTCAATCAAAGAGTGTAGTTAGCAGACTTGTATCGGTGAGACAAGCAGCGCTTGCTTGATGTGTACAGGATGAGTATGCAAGAGTGGGGCACTTGCTCACTTTAACACAAATGGAAAGAAGCGAGAGGTTAGGAGGTCCGAACAGACAAGGGGAGTAGGGAGCCCACTTATCTCATATGAGGCCAGCTATTTCTCATCTCATGTGAGACAGAAGGAGATGGGGATCGCCTCTCATCTCATGCAGGATGAGACCAGGAGAGGCGGGTGCACATTTGTCTTTGACAGATATACAAAGTCAAAGGGGGCAGTAGCTGGGCGTATATGAGGTGCAAAGGGCAGAAAGCGGTGGTCGGTAAGCTCGGACGAGAACAGTGATGCTCGCTCATATTGCTCGCTCGCATTCTATTGGATGAAAGGGCGCAAGAAGGGGCGAGCAAGCTCATATGGAATGTGACGAGATGGTAGGGGTAGCTGCTTGTCACATTGGGAATTGAGAGTGAGAGAAGGAAGGTATGCTCATCTCGCATGAGAAGAGCATGCATTGGCTGTTTGTCTCACATAGGAAAGGAAGGAGGGGACTTTGATCCCGTATGAGACGGATAGGAGAGGGAGGAGAGGTGCTCACTGAGCTGCTACAGGGTAGATGTATGAGGTGGAGAAGTGGGCGCATGAGGCATAGCGATCTCATATGGGATAGAGAAGGGGGAAGAGGGTGGGGATGATCTGAAGATCAAGCACACCATCAATTGCATGGAACTGCATGTCATGATAGTGCAGTATCTCCGCTGAGCCATGGGTGGGGAGACAGCAGGGGGGAAAGGACCATCAATAGAAAGATGGACCGGTTATTGAGGGCAAGCACCACAACTGAAGATATCCTTACTACTGAGAGCCTATTGATCTGAGAAAACCTGCCCTCAGTAAGGTCAAGTGTTGGGTATTGACAGTAGATGTCAGAAATATTGGTCGCCGTGCAGATACTGGCGCCGTGCAGATGCGCATGTGCACGCAGATACTTGGATTAGAGGGTTAGGGCAATAATAGTGAGCTCTAGTCGATAGGAAGGAGTACAGGTAGCGGTTCCCGTCTTTCTGTTAAACTAGATGCGTCGGGAGACAACTGGAATATGAGCGTTTTCACGAGCTAAAGAAGCGCAGGACGCGCAAGACCTCAGTCTTCCTGCTAGTGGAATAGCGACTGAGATTCATACCTAAAGAAGCGCAGGACGCGCAAGACTAAAGTACAGTCAGTAAATAGTATGAGTATAGTAAGTGAGAAACATACCCTCAGTCTTCCTGCTAGTGGAATAGCGACTGAGGGAAAAGAGATGTACAGTAAGGATAAATACGGACGCCCCCGGAGCGGCGTGGGAAAGTTCTTCCCGAATAGGAAGGCGGACCAAAAGCGTGGACGCGAGGCAAACCGTCCGCCCATGGGAGGAGGCAGACTCGTCCCTCTATACCCTACTTTTGACACTCCCACTCGAGTCTGGCCGTAAACCCATACCTTGGCAGAACTTGAGATGCTTCTCATGAGGTAGTGTTTTGGTAAAGATGTCCGCAACCATCTCGTCCGTGGGGTACCAGAGGACAACGCACTCGCCGGTGGCAACCAGCCCATCGCGGATGTAATGGTACTTCCGCTGGATGTGCTTGGTCCGAGCCCGGAACTGAGCATCCTGGCTGAGGATGATGGCCGCGCGGTTGTCACACCTGAGCTCGGTGGCGCCGGCCTGCGGACGTCCCAACTCCTCGAAGAATGAGCGGAGCCACGCCAAGTGCTGGCCAGCATTAGCGAGACCAATATACTCCGACTCGGTAGAGGAGAGAGAGACCATGGACTGGCGCTTGCTGGACCAACCAATGGCACCCCGACTTGAGATGAACACGAAGCCGGAGGTGGACTTGGACGTGTCGTTGCATCCGCCTCAGTCAGCGTCAGTGTAGCCGTGGAAGTCAAGGTCCATGCCAGCGTCGGCACCATCATAGACTAGACACCAGTCGCGCGTCTTCTTGAGGTACCGGAGGACGCGTTTGGCCAGTTCCCAATGGCAAGCCTTGGGGGCGGCGCTATAGCGGCCAAGGACCCCCACCACATAGGCGGTATCCGGTCGGGTGCCCATCATCCCGTACATGAGCGAGCCCACAACGCTCTGGTAGGAGACGATGGGACCTCCGGGGACCAAGGCCATATGAGTGCGCACCTCGTTGTTGTTTGGGTCATCGGCGGAGATGCGAGTGCTTGTGGACATGGGGGTGCTGACGCCCGTGCAGTCCGACATGCCATACCGCTCAAGCACGGTGTCGATGTACTTCCTCTGGGAGAGGGAGATCGTGCGTTTGCCCGGGTGCCGGATGATCTCAATGCCCAGGAGGTACTTGGCGGGACCCAAGTCGCGCATCTTGAAGGAGGCAGTGAGCTTCTTCTTGATGCTGTCCATGAAAGGACGCGAGGTAGCGGCGAGGAGGAGGTCGTCGACATAGACAACTAGGAAGCAGACCTGCTTGCCGTCCCGGAAGACGTAGAGGCAAGTCTCCGAGTTGAGGCGCACAAACCCGAGCTTGTCGAGCTTGTTGTGGAGCGTCTGGTTCCACGCGCGACCGGCCTGCTTGAGGCCGTAGACCGACTTCTTGAGTCGCCAGCAGTAGCCCTCCCGGATGTCCACACCAGTCGGGGGAAGCATGTAGAGCGTTTGTAGCAGCTCACCATTGAGGTAGGCGGTGTTCACGTCCATCTGGTCAGTGTAGAGACCGAGGCGGACGGCGAGGGCAAGGATGATGCGGATGGACTCCAGGCTTGCGACGGGCGCAAAGGTGTCCTGATAGTCAACTCCTTCCTGCTGAGTGAAGCCGCGCGCCACGATGCGCACCTTGTACCGCTCGATGTTCCCTTGAGCATCCTCTTTCAAAGAGAAGACATGCTTGGAGGTAATCGGCTTGACGCCCTCCGGGATGGGTACCTCCTCGTAGACGTCGTTCAGCTTGAAGCTGTTCAACTCCTCCGACTGCGCGTCCAACCACTTGTCGCGCTCTGGGCTCGCCATGGCCTGCTTCCAAGTGGTGGGAATCTTCCGCGTGCCGCTGCTCGACCGACCACCAGATGCTGCGCCCGCGAAGAGTTCGTCATTGAGAAAAGCAAAGTTCACTGACTCGCCCTCTTCGTCGGGTTGACCCGGGGGATCCCCACCCCCCTGGGTAGGCGCTGGTGCGGGTTCTGGCTCGGGAGCTGGTGCGGGAGGTGGAGGAGGAGCTTCCGCCTGAGGTGGCTGCTCTCGACGTCGGCGATTGTCCTCGAGTTGCTGCTCGCGCGCGCGGATGTTTGCTTCACGCTGCTTCCGCTGCTGGGCGGACACCTTCCGGTGGTTCTCCTGCCGCTCCCGGGCGTTAATGTAGCCCTGGTCCTTGTGCTGGTTCGCTGTTCGCTCTTCTGGCTTGCGAAGGCCAGGGCGGCGTGATGGACCAGCGGCGGGGGCAGGAGCCGGTGGTGGTGTGGCCGGTGG